GGATAAGTATAGCTTCTATATTTAAAAAGACTACTCTTTTTTTCCAAAATCATTTACAGTTCCCACATGAATGTGACATGATACTACATGAATGTGGTAGAGCTTTTCAAGGTTTTATCACTTTCTTTAATCAAATAAAAGTTAACGTTAGCACTCAGAGCTTTGTCAGGTTGATTAGTTTCCAAGATAATCATTAAATTCACAAAAACAAATCTATGACAAGAAACCTGAATTCAGGATTGCTGCTGTGAAGGTGACAGTGTGACAGAGGTGGGGTAATCCATTGCCTGGTCAGCCCTGAACAGGCAGGTGGAATAGAAAACATTTGTAGGTCCCCTCCAACTGAAATAGTTCAGTTCAGTTCAGTTCAGTTCTGTTCTATTCTATTCTATTCTATTCTATTCTATTCTATTCTATTCTATTCATTTCTGAATCTCATGAAACTCATGAACTACGGAAACACAACTCTCAGATCAACCTGCTTCTTGATTTTTAATGATATACCGTTGAAAAATGCTTTTTGCAATGGTATGTCATCCTTTCATTATGCTACAAAAGTGGATGTGGAAACTACCAGCCTATGCCCCAACTTTGGAAGGCCATGACTATTAATAAGGAATTTTGTCTTCTCATCTTCTTACTCCCTAAAAAAGTATCAGAGGATCCTTCTGGTCAGAGAGACTTCCTATTCATCAAATCATTACTCTTATTTTAATCTGGACATACTGACACATGCATGACCATAGAAAGAATATAAGTACTAAATTTTACATCATTCAAAATGTGCATCGTGTTGCTGATTTCTTGACAAAAGCATGTTTGGGATACAGTCCTTTAGGACTTGATGTAAAGGCCAAATGTTTAGTATCAGCCAAACAGGAAGTATCATTCCAAGTTTGCAGCTAATTGGCTGATCTCTAGAGGATACAGGCTCACTGAAGTCAGCATGGACCCACTAGAGCTTCCTACCATTAAATCATAAACAGCAAGGAAAAGATCATGGTGGGAAGCCTGTTTAACTGTCAAGGGCACAACATGAATCAAGGAAGCAGTAGTTAAGCAAACTAGACTGCTGGCTGAATGGAAATGTTCAAGAAAAAAAAAATTTGAGTGAGTTGCCATTGAAATTTTAACTGTTACCCTTTTTCTCTTCTTGTGCTTTCTGACTGGCTTCATTTGGCACTGAAATTGAGGAGTAAAATTATCTCTTCAAGGCTGCAAGGGACAGTCAGCTGTACTTGAACTAGGAAATAGTTTGCATGTAACATTCTGCACTGGCTGAAGAGTGCTACAACTAAATCCCAGTTATTATGAAAACAACCCAGGAATGGAAAATGTCTGAAAGGCATACACAGCCACACAATCCTTAAAAGATCTGTTCTTTTTGATAAGGATGATGAGCCAAAGCCCAGAGACTATAGTGAAAAAATAACAGTAGTTTTATAATCCTGACATGATTATAGCAACTGTTGGCAGCTGTATGATTTGGAGTTCAGCTTTTCTCACCCTGTATATATTCTAGGTTTATGCAAAAGCACACCTCTATACATATAGGTAAATATACATATGCATGGTTTTCTTCTGCTCTGCTTGTCATTCCCTCGTCTTCTGACTGTACTTCCCTGCAACATAGAAATGCTCAATATGCATTTACAGAAACAGAAAGCCTACTGCATTACTCTTGTAGATAATAATGTCTATACTCTGACAGAAATATTTAGAAAAGCAGCACAGTGGCAGACCAGTCATTTAGTGTCATCTTGGATTAATTTCTTTCTCCACTGAATCCAAATTACCATTCCTTAAGATTCCTTCAGAGCTAAAAATAAATCTAACTGTGAAAAATTCTCAAATAGTTACCAGAAAATTCCATATTAGAAACGGATGGAGACTTTTCTTAGATGAAATTCGTATTTTGACCACAGCCTGATGTACTGAAGCTTGTTTGTCAGTTTGGCCATACTGAAATAGCCAAAATTCTGTCTTCAGCCACTTATGTCTCAGAGGTGCTGTACACTAATGCCTGTCATATAGCCTGTGCCATGGTTTAACCCCAGCTGGACATTAAGTACCACACAGCTTCTCACTTAGTGCATGTATCCTACCTGGTGGGTAGAAAGAAGAATTGGGAAAAAAAAAACAACTTGTGGGTTGAGATAAGAACAGATTAATAGTCAAAACAAAATAATAATGATAATATTAATATTACTGGTTATAAAACTAAAGGAAGAGGGGGAGAGACAGATAAAATCTAAGAGTGATGCACAATACAATTGCTCACCAACTGCTGACTGATGCCCAGACCATCTTCAATCCACAACTAGTACCCCTCCTGGGCAGCACCCCAGTTTATATATTGGGCATGATGTTCTATGGTATAGAATATCCCTTTGGCCAGTTCAGATATGCTGTCCTGGCCATGCTCTCTCCTGGCCTATTGTGCACCTATTCACTGCCAGAGAATGTGAAAATGAAAAATCCTTGATTTGGGGTAAGCACTACTTAAACATCAGTGTGTTATCAACTTCATTCTTGTACTAAATTCAAAACACAGCACTGCACCTGCTACTAAGAAGAAAATAAACTATCTCAGCAGGAACCAGGATATGTTCCTAACTTGTCAGACAAAGCACTGCTTTGCCAATTAAATATTCAATTTCCACACTATCCTTAAACATCACTGACATATCTGTCATTCACTTGATTTAGGAATTTACAGAGCTATCATCTTTGGCAAGATCATCTGCATAGCTCATCCAGAAACAAGTGCCACTTTGTTTGAGTCACCTTTTCAAACATCACTGGTCACTGTTCAGCAGTACTTTCCACCAAATCAAATTTCAATCCAATTTTTTGGACAACCTTTGGAAATGATTGAAAAATAGAACCTCACCTGCCTATTAACTGTCAAAAGATAACCATACAGCACTTTAGAGTCTTCTTACACTGTTAATATGACAATTAACTTTCACTTTCCTGTATTTACCTGTAACCATCTGAAAGATCAGTTTGATGAGAGAAAAATGCAAACTCAAAACAGTACCACAATCTTACATCTTGCACAACACATGCAAGAAGTCCATTCTTAATTCAAGAACATTAAGTGACTAGAATAAATCTACAATCCATTAATAAACATCCTCAGAAGATACAAAAAGACAGAATCAGATCAAAAAGCCTGCTTAACTGGAGAACAGTTCTTAAAGAAATGGAATAGAAAGTAGCTGGAGACATTTTCTTCTAGCTTACTAGCTGTCATCAACCTGGTATCCTAAAATTCATGGCAATTCAGCTTGTATCCTAGTTCACAATTCTAGTTTAGAATATAGACTGAATAAAGTTATTATGGCTATTTAGTTGAACTGAAAAGATAATCAATTGAACAATGAAGAAAATGTTTACTTGCTTTTCCTAGTATGAATTTTGCTTGTTTCATGCATAGTAGTGCAGCTTCAGTGAGGCCAAAATTCACTTTTTGAAGGCAGGAAGAGTAGAAAACTTCATGTTTCCTTTGGCTAATCTGTTCCATCACCTTTCTAACTCTGTTCAAGCCAGCTCAGCCACACTATCACAGTCTACAGCAGGCATGATGGAATATCCGCCTAATAGCATCAATTACTCGTGTTGTTTCTTTACAGCAACTCTTCTCTGTGGCACCTAACATTTTACCCAGTCTGTTCATCAGGCATTTTCTAAATCCAGACAAGATTTTCTTTGTTTGGCTTGCAAAAGATATATTTGAAAAGTCAGTCCCAGAAGCTTGAGACGAAGAATGAAAAATATATCAATCCAACTTTCTTTTTTCTCTGGAAAGTTTTACTAGGCTTACAGATTTTTCAGGTGGATCTATAAGTGAGAGAGATGCAATTTGAAAAATCCTGCATATAAAGGACATTAGAGAGATAACTAAGAGAGAACTAAGTTGGACATACAATATACTAAATTTTTTAAGCCACTGAAAAAAATCACACTTTTTATTTTTGCTACTTGTTATTTATTCCTAATATATCACTTTCATCTTAATGCAGTATGAAAACAGGTATAAAAAAGCATCTAAGAATTAAAATATTAATGTGCTGTAGAAATTGTCAGAACAAATGAGCACACATTCAAAGAGAAAAAATGATAACTGTTAAACATCTATGGTAACATGCAGCAATTTAATTTCTAATACTTTTTTTATAGTCCTTCTGTTTGTTATTTTTTCCCATCATTAATTAGTGATACTTGCTCCAGAAAGTTTTACATTGTACATAAAATTAGCAGCGATCCTAGCTTTAGCTATTGATTGTGTTGCATGGCTGAAGATTTCTCTCTAAGCATTCCAAATCTAAATGTAAATGAATACAAAATAATGCATTCACACTACAGGTATAGATTCATCCTCTTGCTTACCTTGAGTTATCTCATTGAAGCTACTCACTTGAGCAACCTGCACAATCACTGGTAAAAGTCACATATCTTCAGAAGGTAAGGGAACTCACCTGTCTTAGGATAACCTGAAAAACCCTCCTTCTCCACTGACACACTCAGCTGCTGTACTTGAATTACAGTTTTCAGGTTAGGAGAGATTAATCCCAACAGAAATAACCCATGGGCCCATATACTCTTAAATGTGCAGGCAAATGGATCTGTGCTTAACAAAGTCACACTATGCTCATAGCCAGGTAAAACACAGCTGCCTACAACAATCATAAAGAATGTCTATTTTACCAAACAGAATGCATGAACATGAATCTAGTCTTTTTTGTTCTTTTAAAACATGAAAAAAAAAGCTTTTCCCCAAGTAAACAGGGAAAAAAAAATTCAACTTTAATTGGTAAAATATCCTTTTAAACAGGTAAATAAACAGGAAGATTTAGGTAAATTTTCTAAAACAAGAGCAATGAAACATAATCTGTAAGAGTAACTGCTTTGTGGAAGGCAGATTATAAACTTCTACCTTGATTAGCATTTAAATAATTGCATAAGGAGTTTATAAATGCTGCAAAGAAACATACCTGGCAACAACTCAGCAGTATGGAATATCTTCTCCAGCTTCATTTTACTTTCAATTAATAACTCTTCTTTAGTTATTGGAAGGTCTAGAGTATCTCGAATAAACTCTGCTGCTTCTAGGGCTTGTCTACCTAGAACCAAGGATTTCACATCCCAGCTATAGGTCTTTCCAAAACGCCCACAGATCTCTTCAAACACTTTTGAATAGAGACATTCAGTATCTATTAAAAAAAAAAAAAAGAAAGAAATAATTAAACCTATGTACAAACAAGTAGGCAGTTGGTCTTGCTAAGACACCACATAAATGGTCAGAGCATGAACTGCCAGGAGCCAGAGGGCACGTAGCACAGTGGATAAAATGTCTCCCTTTATTTGCAGGAGTGAACCAAGGCTTCTACCACCACTTCAGAGGTACCCAGGTCTTTCAAGCTGTCATTTCTGCATAAACAAAAGGTAACCTGGTGCTGCTCTTTCATTACCTTTCTTTACTATCCCAGATAGCAAGCAGTGTCTTAATTAAAATACTCTATTTATGCTTTTCATGAGAAAGAAAAGGAAGGAAGGAAGGAAATCTGGTACTTGGGGGATGCCATTACATATTCCATGTAAATTGAAAAAAGAAAAAAAGATTTAATTATTTAAGAGTGCCTTTGAGAGGAAGCTTCTAAGTGTCTTCAAAGACATTATGGTTATTATTACAGTGCTGCTGGCACCACTGCAAGAGATTACTCAAACAAAACACACTCACTTGTGTTTCCAGGGGATTTCAGACAAGAGTAAACTTCAGACTCAACTTTGGCAGTGATACTATCAGCTCATATGTCAAAGGTGGTTTTAGGTTTAAAGCTGGTTTTTTACAAAAAAAAAAAGGAATTTGCCCTTTCCTCCCCTCCTCCCCCTACAAATTTTGGAAAAAGAAGTTCATTAACATTTAATTTAACACTAATATGGGGACAAAATGTACTTCCAGCTCTTGTCTTCATTTCAGCAAAGATCTCAAACACAGGTAGAAAAACCATCTGTTTATCTTTTTAAGTAGTCTCCTCTGAAAAGTCAGTTACTGCTGTTAATTCCGTCAGGAATACAAACTGAGAACACAACAGGATATATGTGGCAGTGGCCTGTTCTAATAAAGGGAAGGAAAAGCAAGAATTCTTAGCTCCTGCAATTTCGAGTAAATGTGTAAGTTTTCAAAATACACTTTTTATTTCTATCTCTCATCTCTTGAAACATCTTTTAGATGGACATTATCAGCACAACATACTGTTGGGAACGAGTAATATTCATCCCCTAGTCACGTATTATCTTCTAGTCATTTTTATAGTGACCCTTCTTCAATATAAAAGCACAGTCAGCTCCACTGGTGGTGTTTCAAGTGTGCAAAAGCCAGCCACAATAAATACAAATAAAGTGACCAAAATGACAGAGGCACTGGATTACTCAATTTGTGATCTGGCACAAAAATATGCTGACATGAATTCAGAGGGACCTGGAGGTCACTTGGCAACACACCATAGTGAATATATGGATTGGATGACCTGCTTGAATCACTGCAGAGTCACAATTAGATGTTCAGATCTATCTAGGCTGGAGGTAAAGCAAACATCAAAATAGTATGTAAACCTCACCTTTATCACTTACACATAAAGACAGTTTAAGACAGAAAATTATGACTTCATGAATACAGAATTTAGTTTTTGTATTTATGTATTTATTTATTTATATACCTTCTAATTGAATATTATGCTATTGTTATTCTAAAATAATCTCTAGTTTATCAAGAAGATGAGATCAGTAGGTATGAACCCTCCTTTTAGCCATAGCTCATCTTAATCACTAGCTTTATGTACTTTGTTTGAATAACACATCTCAATTTTGCATTAAGCTTCCCAGATGAAATACACCAATGATTTATCCTTCTGCTAGGAGCCTAAACCATCTTAAACAGAGCTTTAATTGTATGCATTCAATATATTTCAGTAATTCAAAATCAGACTCTGGACAACCAAACTGCAGGGGGTTTTTGTTTGTTTTTGTTTGTTTTTGTTTTTTTGTTCAGTTTGGTTTTGTTTGTTTTTTTGTTTGTTTGTTTGTAAGGGATAGAAAACTGATAAAATAGAAAAATTTTAAGTTAAGCAACAGGTTTATTGTGTCCATACCCATGAGGCAGATTTCTATTCACAAGTGAAAGAGAAGCATTTTCAGTATTCAGTATATATTTTCAGTATAATTTAGCCAAATTTAGGCACAGTAAGCCATTTTTACCAGCATTTTGGCCCAGGACTGAGAAAGACTCATTAGATGTTGTTACCATCAATACTGAATGAACACATAGGTAACTATGATTTTGCTTTCCTATCTTTCATATTAGTCCCATAATCTCTTCAGAGTATGCAACAGTGTAAAAAACCATACAAATTACTGAGATGCTCAGTTGGGGTACAGGAGACAAATATAATTATAAACTGGATTATAGAAGTGTGAATTTTTCCTTTTAGCAACTCATTTGGTGGCATTTAGTACAGTATAAACTGTTAACTTGCAAACAAATCTATACAAGAGCTGAAATGTGGACAACTGGGACTAGATCAATCAAGATTAGATATTTCCTCTACATATAGAGTTATAGTAATGACATTCACATTTTCTCTCCCTTCTGGATTAAGACATAACATAGGCCTCTGTGTATTTATTCTCCCATTGTATCAAATGAACAGCGTTAAAGAACATGGGATTTAAGCACAGCAGTGGCAAAGCCAAAATAGTTACAGATTTCCCATCAGAAACATTAGCTTTGTCTAGTCCAGAGCATCACATGCTCGGTCATTGATCCTTATGCCCACCTATTTCAATATCAGCAAAATCATGTACTCAGTTCTTCCTCTCCCAAGCACACAAAAGACATGGCTGAGCAGCTCACTGACCAGTTGTGTCAAGTCTGTGAGGCTCAGGAGGAGAACAAATGCTGAAGCACTGCATGAAAGCCAGGGAATGGATGTCTCAGCTAAGTCTCTGTACCTGAAAGAGATCTCGCATCCGTCTTGCCATTCTACAACCTCTCTCCCCACAGACAGGATCTGCTCTTAGCTCATTCAGTTACACAAATGAACCAATTCCTGAAATATTTCAGGATTTCAACAGCTGAGGATGTGAGTATCAGTGAGCCATTCAACACATTTCCAAATGCTATGTGGACTACCACAAATTTTAGGAAGCACCACTGGTAAGATAAAAGCCACATGGGTATCCACAAACTTGGAAGATTCTACTGGTGATTTTGGTAAGCAGGAAAAGAGAAAAGAATGGGAAATGAATGGCCTCTGAACAGTAAACATGGAATGGAACAAGGAACATCCTCTCAACACAAAGAAGTCAAGGTACTACTACCCACAATTTATAAACTGCAGTTCCATCTCAAAAAAGACCCAAAAAGGCAACAAAACACAAAACCAGAAATGATTGCTGAGGGAGTAATAGTCTATGTCACTGAATAAGTGCTTGTGCATTACTCATTCTCTATTATTTTTATCCCTTATTTTTTTTCAGAGAGAATCTGAGACATTCCTCTTACAGTATCGGCCAAACAAGATAGATAAAACCAGTATGAGCAATGCAAAAGAGTAGCAAGTATACAACTGTCACTGAAACAGGTCTGAAACTGCAAAAAAGTTAAACCACCAGAAACACTTAAGAACTAGAGCTGAAGCCTCCTGACTTAGCTAAGCAAACAGAAAATAGAGAAGATTTTATTTTTTTAATAATCTGTTGTAGACAACAATCTTGCAATTTGTGTCAAAAGGTCAGTTTGCACTGCTCCCTCAACATTCTTCCATTCACACTTTCACTACTATGAAAGCTAGTTTAAAAGTGCATGACTATGGTTACCCATGATGGCTAAAAGGAAAAAACCCAGCAGTTTAACAACCGACCTTGAATTCACTTGCAGCAGCCCAGTAAAATTAGGGATGAAGAAGGCAGACAACAGAAATTAGCTTTTGCATAACAGCCTAACTGTTGGAGCACTAGTTCAGAAAATGAAACTCAGTCTTTCAATCCATCCTAAGGGCCTAAGGCTGTTTTTCTAACATACCCTGACATTTTTTTTGCTATTATGTTATGTACATATACACACTTCTATACAGATAAACCATTTATATGCTTGCACATAAGCATACAGGCATTTATTTTTATATATTTACTTATATATGGTGTATGTATAGAACTGTGTTTTACAGGCAAAAGTGTATTTTAAAGAATAAAACTCAGGATTAGTATTAGCCAAAGAATACAAATCAACCTGGAGCCTCCTGGCTTAATGGCTCATTAAAGGAATGTGGTTCAAAATGCTTAGCACTGAAACTGCACAAGGAAAAGGGATGTTCTATTCCTTACTATAGTATTCCCCCATTCCTTCCATGAACTTGTTTAGGAAGAAAAATTAAATCAAAATTTATCCTCTTAGACACACTTCACTGCCACAGAAGGAAATAAGCACTGGTTTCACACATGCTCAAGTGAAATATTTGAGCCATGCCTAAATGTCAAGGCTGATGCACCCAACCAGGAAAACTGAACCTAAAGGCAGTCTGGACCACCAAACCAAGGGAAATGTTGCTGCGATATTCATGTCTTATACCTTCCCACTGATCTACTCTCATAACCAGTACCACTTAAATTCATATTATTGTTCCTTGGAAGTTAAAGGAAGGTGAAGTATCTATTAAAATAAACATCAAGCACCATATAATGGCTACTTCAAAATCATAAGCCACTTATAAAGAGCAAATTATTCAGTAAACCATTCTACATGATTGATAAACTGTAACTTCCAAGGATAAAGAAAAAAATATTATAATTGCTGAAAATTAAAATTACTGCTTCCATTTTAATTGAATAATGATTTGTAAATCATTACATTTTTGATTAGCACTTAGAAAAACTCACTGAAAAGATCCATTATTCATTTTAGTAAGGAGAATGTATAAGACTGTTCTGGAGCTCTAATTTTTGCAAACCTGCTTCTTATTTTCCCTTGTAGTTGAATATTAATGTAAGTACACTCCAAGGCAGACGAACATGTTACATTGTGATTACTTTACTAAGGCCAGAGAAACACGCTGCTACTAGCTAATTCAGTGTTGTCAGTCTGTTTGCCCTTCTCTGAGAGATCCTCCCATGAATTCAAGTTACTGCTAACAGGTTTAAAAAGTAAGTAAATTTGATTTTCAAACAATATCAGCTGCATGAAACTGTTCCCAAATGAGTGTCACATATTTTCCCCTATGGGCTTACATTACTGGGAGAATTCTTCAATGGCAGCTACAGAGGAAGCCAATTTCTCATTTTATATGCAGAGAAACACGGTATTTCTGTGAGGAGAGGAAGAAACTTCTGAACAAATTCAAAAGGCTTTTAGTTTACATTAATACAGTAGACATATCTTAATGCTATCTTGTATTCATATATACACCTTATCCTTCTTTTTTAATGCCACAGGGAAGTGAAAGAAAGAGTTCACAAATAAAGCATGCAAACTCTTCCAATGTGGAGCTGTAAACAAATACTCTGGCACCAATGCAAAACTGCATATGAAAACATAAAGAGAAGTCTGTATTTCAATTCCAGAGCATGAGGGAATCAAACTTTGAAATATGAAGGCAATATACATTACTTAATACAAAACATTCTAAAACTGTACTTATTAAGCATCATCTATGTGACAACATCTCATTAGTTTAAAAATAGAAAAGCTATTGATTCATAGAAACTGCCTAATATGCTTTCTTAGGCCCTTAACCATTAAAGACAGAACTATGCAAACAGCAAATACCTGTGGAACAGATATGGTTCCTGAAAAACCCTGCTTGTTGGGTGGAAATCTACAGTTTACAGAGACACAGCTTCTTAAAATGTGTATGGGGAGAGTCAAGTCAGGCAACATTACACTGTCATTATTATATGAGCTACTATACCTTGGAAATTTATAAAAGCAATGTTCTCAACCAGAGGAGCAATTACCAGCTCTGAACACCCTATGAGCTCATAGCATATTCACAAGGAAGTAAGGCTTTCACCAAGGGGGTACCTCTTCTTCTTGAGCTATTGCAGGTAACACAGAGCAGTAGTTCACTGGCCCAAGGAATTGTTTGAAACAAGGTCTAAAAAGTTGTTTTGAAATGAGATGTTCAAGGCATCTGGATAAAACCACTCCCACACAAGGTAGATGAAACCAGAAGGGTCATTTTCTTACCAAAGTGAGCAGACTAGCCAATTGTATCTTCTTAATTAAGAATCTGGTGGGTTGGCCTTGGTTGGGCCAAGTACCCAGCAAAGCCCCAAGCTACTCTTTCATTCTCCTCCCCCTCAGCTGGACAAGGGAATGAAAATACAATAAAAGATTCATGGGTCAAGATGAGGGCAGGGAGAGATTACCCACCAGTTACCATCACAGGCAAAACAGACACAATTTCAGGAAATTATATCTGAGCAGGGGAATAAGAAATAAGACCAAAATTTAAAAAAACTTTTTCTACACCTGTCCCTTCTTCCTGGGTTTAGCTTTATTCCTAACTTCTCTACTTCCTCTCCTGCAGCAGCACAGGTGAACAGGGAAGAAGGGTTGAGGTCAGTTTATCACACATCTCTGCTGCTCCTTCCTCTGCAGTAGGTCTCCTCCAGCACCTGGAGCATGTCCTCCCCCTCCTTCTTCACCAACCTCGATGTCTGCAGGCCTGTTTCTCTCACATGTTCTAGCTCCTCTGCCCTGGCTGATGTTGTTCAGCAGGTGATCTTCACCTTCTTAAATCTCTTACCCCAGAGGTGCTACCACTGCTACTGATGAGCTCAGCCTTAGCCAGAGGCAGGTCTGTCTTGGATCTGGCTGGCATTGGCTCCCCGTCAGAAACTGGGGAAGCTTCTGGCATCTTCTCAGAGAAGCAGCCCACCATTCCACCCAACTCCTCTGCTACCAAAACCTTGCCATGCAAAGACAAATGTAAATGCATACTTCTCTGGGAAGAGCTACCTGTAAGACAGCTATAACAAACATAACCTTCCCTAAAGAATATATCCCAGAGCTTTTCTGTTCTGTTCAACCCACAATCTAAAAGAGCAAAAATGGAAAAAAAATAGTTATGAAAGGGGAAAAAAGAGTCAGGAAACATTATTCCTTCCTCAAGAAAAAACACAACAAAGTGAGGCCATAGGGAAAATTGTCTTCAGCACACCACAGGTCTCTCCTAATACTGATTTCCTTATTCTCAGAAAGCTTTCGTTTTTCTAAGAATATATATTGTGTATATTCTCAGAGAGACTATACACATAAAGACTTGATCAAGCTGCAACAAGTTCAAGATGTTTGACTTTCAGTATTACATGTTTCTAAATCACATTCTGTAATACTGTCAAAACGTCTGTTTCCTCACCAGTGGAAACATTTTAAAAGACAGAGTGACTTCAATAGAAAACAAAATCATTACTTTTCTACTGTGGCCTTGGACAATGTCCTAAATTTAATGATGGCAATGTGTCAAACATACTACCACAGAGGTGTAGAGAACTACAGATTAATAAAGACGATCTCTTCTGTCCACGCAAGAGTGCCTAAATTTTTGAGGTAAATCTGTTGATGGAGTGATTTCTCTGTGGTGATAACACCAAGAGCAGAAAATAAAAAATCATCAAATAGCTTTATTTTCCAAGAGTGAGGACTTTTCATCCTGGATGACTATTTACATACAAGAGCAAAGTGAGAGAAATACTGCAGAAGACCTGGTCACAATAATTCTTTAATAGTTCTATACCAAGAACTCCTTATACTATATATATACTATATAACTATAACCTAAAATGCATAAAAAAGAATCGGACCTTTGATATGCATGAGGCAAGTATGATACAGCAAACTGAAAATTGTTTTATGAGCTGCAATGACTGTTTGAAAACTGTAGAAGAAAATTCAAACTCATTATATTGATAATGATAAAAGGAACTTCCAATACAACATAACAGAGGACTTCCACACAGATGAGCCATAAGCTTCTCTGAGATGTGTCACCACAGCCCTCACCTCCCATGTGGGATTGAGGATCAGAATACAGGGCTATTCTCATAGACTATTGAAAGGCCTCATATGACAGCAAGATTTGTCCTGCCTCCAAACTTGGCAGTATGCTATAGGCAAGTCCTAACTGAGTCTTAGATCAAATACAGCCTGCAGCCAAGAGAAAGACCAGCCAAAGCTGGAAGTGTCACAAATTATGGTCTTTTTGTTTCCCAACACCATTGATAAAAGCAAAGAAAATACTGGAAGACTACAGTTTGCTTTAGAATATAATCAGCTTGCTTATGATTGTCAGGATGAAGTAAAACTTATACTTGACCATAGAAACTTTTAAGTAAGCCACATCAAACCCAGTGAGAAACAGGCACACAAACCACAGAATGGTTTGGGTTGAGAGACCTTTCAAATACAACTTGTTCCAATCCCCCTGAGAAGGGTAGGGACACCTTTCACTAGATCAGGTTGCTCATAGTCCCATCCAATACACAATGCTTTTGTGTTTCTGAGCTAAAATACCATTCGTACTCATGAACCTGAACCACACAGACATGTGTACTAACAACTCCTCACATGGCAAAAAGAATGTCTATTCACAGCAAATTAAGCCAGCTTGCTACTCAAGCGCAGTCATACTGTATCAGTACTAGATCTTTGTAACAATATTCCCCAGCAAACTGCTACTTACAGAGTTTAGTGCACAAAACCAGATTTTTAACAGCATTAATTTTCTTCATGAGTATTTACACACTAATTCTCAGACCTGCTGCTAAAGGGCTGCATCATTTTTCTCTCAGCATGTATCTGAAATTTTGCTGAAAAGCTTTAGCTTCTCTGCATGCATGTTTTAGTCTACCTAGTAATACTAGTACAGAACTTATACTAGTTAGGTATTAGTATTAATTTTAACTATAGTTCTATAGTTAGAACTACAACTAGTTTAGTTATTATATAACTAAAAATGGACTGAATTAACTTTCATTAACTGTAAAATCTTACCAGAATATTTTAAGTTAGCCTTCTGTCATGAAAATTGTTGCCCAAAGTTTCTACATCCCATCACATAAAATCTCTGTGTAAAAGTTATTGATATGCACTATCAAATCAGCTGCCAAGTCAAGAGGACTCAGATAAAATGAGAATATGGCAGACACAGATTGATTAGGAAGCCTGAAAAACAATAGCAAATACGAGGCATCAACTACAGATCAAGTAAGACATGGAAGAAACACTTCAGAATTAAAAATCTGATGCAAAAGACCTGTGAAAGGATTTCAAATCACCTCATTTGAAACCATCCCAGGAACACTAAACTGCAAAAAACTTTATCAACCTCTTTGGTTCTATAAGGATTTAAAAATTATGGCTGCCTGCCTCAAACATTGGTTCCTCTGAAGGTCTTTGCCCATTGTGGCAAACCGTGTAAAGAAGCAATCACTCATCTGCAACCATTGAAGTTGCCTCCCCCAAATATACCTGCATTGATTCCTGGAACTTGGACTGTAAATTAAGGCACCTGACAGGAAACTGAGAAAAGATAAAGGTGGTACTATTGTCTGAGTGTTATCTCAGACTAGAGGAAGGTAAAAAATGCTGGGGGAGAAGAATATATCACTGATAATGGACAAGGAAAACCAACTGAACAACACTGCTGAAGTCAGGTCAGACTAAATATGGCAGGGTGAGATCAGAACCCACTGACTCAAGAAACCCACTGACTCAAAGAAAGATTGAGCATGGGATTAACTAGCACTCGAAGTGAGGGAATCATTTAACAAATAGAGTAAGAGAACTATGTAGCCAATGAACATAAATTCATTTGCTTGCTTAAACGTATAAATAGTGAAAAATTTTCAACAACTTTGGGATCCTCACCACCAAGAAGCTCAGGGTGAAGAAGGACCAATAGGATGCTGCTGGATCCACAGGTAGTGACTATAGTCTGCTTAATCTGTCTGTCAGTGTTTGTCTCTCCTCTCTTTTTTATCTTTCTACCTCACACTTTCTGTTAAATAAAATCCATACTATTGATTTTGGCATATGATCCTGCTTGCACCTTAATTCAGATAGAGATATCTCTCAATAATCAGATCTTAAAAACTGCAGATAATTATTTTATTGTAGTAGAAGTGACACAGACAACACTTAAAAGTTTGGTACATGTCAGGTACCTAAAGGCTGAAGTACTTGATCCAGTGCCCACTTTCAAGTAAAATATTTTAGCTTTTAAAGCTTTTCTAAGAGAGTCGTTTTCCTGGCAAAGAGGAGATGATCAAGAAATCTTAACTCCTATGCTTGAGTCAAACAGACCTTGTATTATTTTAGCACATTATGACAACTTTAAAATAGCATAAGGTCCTCAAACATCAAAATCCATTTAACCTAAATACTACTATCTCTTGTTTAAAATAGGTGAAAAATAATAGAAAGGTATCAGAGATGTCTTATAAGAAGTCATAAAACTTATTCACACTGCAATCCTGAAAGAATACTGGAATTACAAAAAGGTTCGGAAAGAGAATCTCACTAACATGTCAGTGAACCCAATTCACATGAGGACTAAAGGAGAAATAGAAAGCTGGAAGGAGACTCTCTGACAGCAGCTATTAAGGTTATATTTTTAGCTATCTCAAAGGGGAGAGGCTGAATCTTCTTTTGCTAGAGAGTGGTTCTGGGCATAATGGAAATATTAGGTTATGACTCTGTTTTGAGTGTGACAGCTTAGAGTTACAAGAAACACTGCTGTGTATCCTACTAAATGAAATAAAAAATATGTGTTCAGAGACTCAAAGAGTGCAAGAAATTTCAGTCCATCATTTCATTCTTCCATATGAGTAATGCGATGAAAATAAAAAGAGATACTGAGAACTGAACTAGAAGTAATTTCCCTCAATCTTTCTTCCCTTCTGCCTCAGTTCTGCAAGCTGAGGTCAAAGTTTACATCTTGAGACACAAACAGCTTCACTCTCCAGTGGCTGAAATTTAATAAGCCTGACACAGGAGTTACTACGCTGGGGTGTGCTTAGTTTTACTGTAACAGTGCTTGCAAAAGACAGGCTGGGAAATTATATGCTCAATAAGCAGATAGAAGAGATTTTTTACTTTATTTATAAAAAATAGACTAAACTTACTTCACTCTATCTAAAAACTAAAGAAGGAAAAAATATCCAGTAGCCTTTCTCCCACGATCAGCAAAAGGAAAAGTGTCTGATTTATTTGCTGAATACATTCAACCGAGTCACTGAACCTAATGACTTTTAGATAAAAAGTCCTATACTTTTTGAGCCATTATGTTTTTAAACTGTTAGAACACATCCTAGGCAAACAGAGCTGCATAACTAGTTAAACAGGATAACTTACATGTTTCCTAAATGTAAGGAAAAAGTAACTATGAGGCATACAAGTTCAATAATAATAAAACAGCTGGTCAACCAAAGACCTTTATTTTCTGCAAGAGGTGCACAGACTCTAGGCCATATCTTTCTAACAACCTAGTAGTTTTCAAAGAGATTAAAAACTGCACAAAAATGCAAACCTGGTAATCCATCAACAGGGGAAGATACCTTTTTTTCTTCTATTTTCTGAAGAGCAAATCTAACTGTTAGTAAAATAATCCAATTGTATAGAACATTGCAATCAGAAAAAAGAGGACTACACACTACTGACTATGGCTACTGTCTACACTCTCTAATACAAAGGTTTGCTTTAGTCATTGATCTTGTCATGAGCAAAGAGATTGGAGATTTTCTCCTTGTGTTAGGATGACACAGATCATGGCGGTATTGTTACAGGGCTGCCAGCCTCTCGTAATTTCTGTTATGAACTTGTATACAGTACAACTTCAAAATTTTGCCACTAACAAATAAAACTGAAATTACACAAAAATTT